TTCATAAGTAAGAATAAATAATTGAAAATGAATAGATAAAGAAAAGAGAGTTCATAAGTAGAAAATATTAGCATTGATAGATCCAATGAGAAAAAACAAGCTTTGATGTTGGTGTCCCACTTCCACAGGTCAAGACAGAACCGAAGGAACACATCAAGACAGAGGTGGAGGAGCCACCGCCCATGGAAGTGACTGTCAAGGAGGAACCAGTAGAGTCCGAGGAGGAAGACAAACTGGTGATCAGTGAGCCAGTGAAAGAAGAGCCCATGGAAGAGGAGGAGGACGAGGTCCCCCTGGTGAGTAGGGCGCGGTACCATCATAATCACCAGCAGGAGGAGGAGGGTGATGATGATGATGACGCGCCGCTTGTGAGTAAACAGGAGGCGGAGGATCAGGATTACATGGAGGATGAGGATGAGGATGAGGATGATGACCTGCCCCTGGTGAGTCCCCCCCCACAGACACTTACAGATGTTCCGTAAATGAGCTCTCCTTGGGCTCCTGTGTAAGAGCCAAAGCAGACTAGACGCTCAGGCTTCTGTTTCCTTTCCTTTCTTTTCTGATCTTTGGTAGTTCCTTGTAGACTGGCAAGGCAAGGTGCCAGGCACTACAGATGAAATGATGACATGCAGATGGCATAGACTGTTGTTGCAAGACTGTTGCTAGATTGTTTATGGCTGCTGTAAAGATATTTGTACATAGTTATACTTTTAGTTGCATGATATTTCTCTCTCTCTCTCTCTCCTCTCTTCTACCTCTCTCTCTTCTCTCTCTCTCTTCTCTTCTTCTCTCTCTCTCTTCTCCTCTCTCTTCTCTCTTCTCTCTCTCTCTCTTCTCTTCTCTTCTCTTCTCTTCTCTTCTCTTCTCTTCTCTTCTCTTCTCTTCTCTTCTCTTCTCCTCTCTCTCTTCTCTTCTCTTTCTCTCTTTCTCTCTCTCCTCTCTCTCGCTCTCTCTCCTCTTCTCATCTTCTCTCCTTCCCGTTTCCTTCACTTTCTCCTCTCTCTCTCTCTTCCTTCTTCTTCCTCTTCTCTCTCTTCTCCTCTCTCTCTCTCTCTCTTCTCCCTTCTTTCCTCTCCTCTCGCTTCTCTCTTCTCTCGTCTCTTTCTCTCTTCTCTCTGCTCTTCTCTCGCTCTCTCTTCTCTCTCTCTCTCTCTCTCTCTCTCTCTCCTCTCTCGCTCATCTCGCTTCTTCTCTCTCTTCTCGTCTTCTCGCTTCTTCGCTTCTCTCTCTCTCTCTCGCTTCTCCTCTCTCTCTCTCTCTCTCTCTCTCTCTCTCGCTCTCTCTCTCTCTCTCTCTCTCTCTCTCTCTCGCTTCTCCTCTCTCTCTCTCTCTCTCTCTCGCTTCTCTCTCTCTCTCTCTCTCTCTCTCTCTCTTCTCCCTCTCTCTCTCTCTCCTCTCTCTCTCTCTCTCTCTCTCTCTTCTCCTCTCTCTCTCCTCTCTCGCTTCTCCTCTCTCTCTCTCTCTCTCTCTCTCGCTTCTCTCCTCTCTCTCTCTCTCTCTCTCTCTCTCTCCTCTCCTCTCTCTCTCTCTCCTCTTTCCTCTCTCTCTCTCTCTCTCTCTCTCTCTCTCTCTCTCTCTCTCTTCTTCTCTCTCTCTCTTCTCTCTCTCTCTCTCTCTCTCTCTCTCTCGCTCTCCCTCTCTCTCTCTCTTCCCCCTCTCTCAACCCCCTCCCCCCTCTTTCCCCCAACATCCACCTCCCTCCCTCTCTTTCCCCCAACCAAACACCGCTCCCCTCTTTCCCACCACCCCACCAACCCCACCCCTCTTCCCACCATCTCCTCTCTCTCTCTCTCTCTCTCTCTCTCTCTCTCTCTCCTCTCTCTCTCTCTCTCTCTCTCTCTCTCTCTCTCTCTCTCTCTCTCTCTCTCTCTCTCTCTCTCTCTCCCCCTCCCCCTCCCCTCCCTCCCTCCCTCCCTCCCTCCCTCCCTCCCTCCCTCCCTCCTCCCTCTCTCTTTCTCTCCCTTCCCCCCTCTTTCCCCCAACATCCCCCTCCCCCTCTTTCTCCCCAACATCCACCCCCTCCCTCTCCCTCTCTCTTTCCCCACCATTCCCCTCCCTCCCTCTCTTTCCCCCATCCCCCTCCTCCCTCTCCTTCTTTCTATTTCTGTTTCTCTTTGTTTCTCTTTCTCTTTTTCTTTCATTATTTATTTCTCACTTTTTTCTCTCTCCCTACTTGTTCTTTCTTTTTATCAGTATAAGTGAAATAATGTATATATGAGGAAATATTGTTTATGTATATATTATTACTTCTATGGTTTACAGCCTATTGTAGTTCCAAACAACTTTAAATGGATTTGAGATTCCACACTGTCACAGAAAAAAATAATACATATATGATTTTGCTTGAACTCTTTTGTTGAGAGGTTTTGTATTTAGGAAGTTGATGGAAAAGCTAGGAAAGTATAGTTGGCTCGTTTTGATACAACACTGTACATACATATCCTCACAGTGTGTTTTGCCAAGTCAAGGAAGGAGTGGTGTTCTTGCATTGAGAATGTACTCCTGGAAAGAGAGCTTTTGCATTGTGTGTGAATGGAGTCTGGTTTTAGGTGCCAGAGTTTTGCCTTTTAACTCCTCGGTGACGGGTATGGCTATAGTCATCATGATGTAACAGCCTATGATGTGTAAACGTGTCTTGACTCACAGAGGGTGGGCCACTCTACACAGTTTAGGCCTAGCCACAAATTCTAGACTTGTGTGATATTATATCACAAATAGATCAAGCCCCGTCACCAAAGGGTTAAGTTTAATAGGATTTTTTATTTTTATTTTTTTTTGCTTGCTGATTGGCTTTCGCCAGTATAGACAGTTCAGTGTATCCTATTTGCTAAGATGTTGCTAGTTTTTCCCCATTTTTAAAAGCAGAATGTGAACTAGCCACATTTCTTGTTATAATATATTTTAGGATAAAACTTCAGTTCACTTGATATTATTTTATCATGGACTGTGAAAGCAGTCCATGTAATTGCACCCATTAAACATGTACAAGTACTGTTAATAATCCAGTTGTATCCTGAAATTACTTTAAAAAGGGATTGAAGTATTTCTTGTGACCTCTGTGTTGGTATTCTTATCCAGAAAATAAGACATGGAGTAATGAGGAAATTTTGAAATATTTCTCCTAATATGCTGTGTGTTACTTTACACAATTATCTTTACACTGTCTTCTCTCCTACAGTCTGCTCGAAAACGTATCAAGGAAGAGGATGAAGATGACGATGACAAGCCTCTGGCTATCAGAAAGAAGGTGAAGACAGAACCAAAGGAGAAGAAAAGGAAGAAGGTGAAGGATGAGGATGAAGACGAGGACTTCAAGCCTGTAAGTTATGAGCAATGGTTCCGCTATCCTTCGAGGAAAGCTATGGACATCCTCACACAATTCTTAAAATTTGCATCTTTCCTTCACTGTCACACACTTATTTTTTCTTTCCTTTTCTTCCCCAGGAAAAGAAGAAAGTTAAAAAGGAAAAGAAAGAGAAGAAGCCTAAGGCAGGAAAAGCTGCAGCAGCTGCTCCAAAGGAAGTTGGATCACCCACCAAGAAGGCCAAGAAAGAGGAGGAGCCTGTGTGGAAGTGGTGAGTCATCTTCGAACATTTGAGCCTCGTAGCAGGATAAAAATTTACACTCATTGTCCTGGTAAAATAAGTATGGCAACAGATTTGAGTGACCTAGTACTAAGTTTTCTTTGTTAAAGAGAAATTTGTGGATGAATGTTTGATTTATTGCCATCTAGCCCCTGTTAAGAAATATCTTTTTAGATTAGTGATTGGTAAGTAAGGAATTTTCCAGTGTAAATATATAGAGTTAAGGAGGCAGACCTATGTACAGTGTGTGAATATAGTAAAAATGTCTATTGAGAAAACCACAAACTACAAGAAAGTAGGGGGGGAGAGGTGCTGCTTAGGCACAGTTGAGGCTTTTGAATTTGGCTCCCATAGCCTGTGGTTGAGCAACCTGCCAACAGAGGGCTCTGCTGTTGCTCTAAGATGGCTGCCCCCACAAGACTAGGCTTATGGGGCCAGGGGGCATCTTGGGTTCTCTTACTTGTCATGTTTCCCCTTTCTTCCTGTCTAAGAAATTTCTGACTGGTATTGAGTTATTTGTGGTTAAGAATTTTTTGTTTTTTGTTGCTTTTATCTTGGATAAGAAAGGAAAACAGTCAAGATAAATGGAAGTCAAGAGGAATACACAGTGGAACCTATACTATCTCAACAAAACATGTGCAGTGTGTTGTCCTTCATACCTGCCATTTTGGTTAGGGAAGTTACAAAGACAATTAGATATCAGTGTTACTGTGTAAAAAGCAGAACCAGACCCAGAGTTCATTCAGCAAGGAGCACTCCGAAGCTGAGAACGAAGACTGTGCATGGCTATTCAAGGTGGTGGGTATTTAATGTAGAGTGCCTAACAGGTGTGGGATAGTAGTTGCCAGATAATGGCAACTCTAGAATTGGTTAGAGTTACTGAGGGGGAGACACAGAGATAGAGGGAAATGGACACTGCCATCATATAGTGCATATGAAATGGATTTATAAACAACAGCTACAGCTACAGCTACAGCTACAATAGCTTCATAATTACTACAAAAGTATGAAAATATCCATTGTTGTATATCACTGCTCTTAATGTTACATTTTTCAATGTTGACATAAAGTTGTAATAAAAAGGGGTACAGGTGGCTTTCTACCCTGTCTAGGGATTTATTAGAAGCTAGGAAGGTTAGGTTTTGCTTTTTGGGTTTGCATGATACCTTGGTTTAGGGAGTTGCTCTCGGACGGACACGCACGCACACATGCACACATGCAAGCACACGTACGTACACTTACACACACACTCATGCTTACGTACACACACTCACGCATACGTACACACACACACGCACAAACCACACACACGCATACGTACACACTCACGCTTACGTACACAAACACACGCTTATGTACACACACACGCACAAGTACACACACGCACACGAACACACACATACACGCACACGTACATGTACACACACGCACGCACACGTACACACGCACGCACACGCACACGCACGCACACGCACGCACGCACACGTACTCACACGCACGCACACGTACACACACGCACGCACACATACACACACGCACTCACACGTACACACACGCACGCACACATACACACACGCACGCACACGTACACACACGCACGCACACGTACACACACGCACGCACACGCACGCACACGCACGCACACGTACACACACGCACGCACACGTACACACACGCACGCACACGTACACACACGCACGCACACGTACACACGCACGCACACGCACGCAGCACACGTACACACGCACGCACACGCACGCACGCACACGTACACACACGCACACGCACACACGTACACACGCACGCATATGTACACACACGTACACACGCGCACACACACGTACACACACGTACACAGACACACACGCACGCACGTACACACACGCACACGTACACACACGCACGCACACACGTACACGCACACGCACGCACATACACACGTACACGCACACGCACGCACATACACACGTACACGCACACGCACACGCACGCACATACACACGTACACGCACACGCACGCACATACACACACACGCACACGCACGCACATACACCGTACACGCACACGCACGCACACACATACACGCACATACACACGTACACGCACATACACACGTACACGCACACGCACGCACGCACACACACAACATACACATTACACACGCACGCTTACACACTTGCATGCGTGCGTACACACATCCATCTCGTGTGCATTTATGAAAAGAGTGGTTTAGAAAAATGAGTAACTTATGTATTCATGGATATATTTGACTTGAAAGTGAATTTATGCTGGAATACCTCAATGTTCCAGGTGGGAGGAGACGAAGCGAGACGATGGGTTGAAGTGGACCTTCCTCGAGCATAAGGGCCCCCTTATTGCAGACCCCTATATTCCCCTCCCTCATCATGTGAAATTCTACTACAATGGAGAGGCCATGCAGCTCTCTTCGGAGGCTGAGGAGGTGGCCGGCTTCTACGCCAGGATGCTTGACCATGACTACACTTCCAAAGAGGTGTTCAACAGCAACTTCATGAAGGATTGGAGAAAGGTATGTATCCTTTTTTAAAATTTATTTTTTTTATATATTTATTTATTTTTTGTTCCAGTTCTAGTCTCTCTGTCTCTCTGTCTCTGTCTATATCTTTCTATATCTGTGTCTCTCTATATCTTTCTATATCTCTGTGTCTCTGTCTCTCTCTATATCTTTCTATATCTCTGTGTCTCTGTCTCTCTGTCTCTCTCTATATCTTTCTATATCTCTGTGTCTCTGTCTCTCTCTATATCTTTCTATATCTCTGTGTCTCTGTCTCTCTCTATATCTTTCTATATCTCTCTATATCTATATTTCTATATCTCTGTGTCTCTGTCTCTCTCTATATCTTTCTATATCTCTGTGTCTTCTGTCTCTCTCTATATCTTTCTATATCTCTGTGTCTCTGTCTCTCTCTATATCTTTCTATATCTCTGTGTCTCTGTCTCTCTCTATATATCTCTGTGTCTCTGTCTCTTCTCTCTATATCTCTCTTTATCTTTCTATATCTCTTGTCTCTGTCTCTCTCTATATCTTTCTATATCTCTCTCTATATCTCTCTGTGTCTCTGTCTCTCTCTATATCTTTCTATATCTCTGTGTCTCTGTCTCTCTCTATATCTTTCTATATCTCTGTGTCTCTGTCTCTCTCTATATCTTTCTATATCTCTGTGTCTCTGTCTCTCTCTATATCTTTCTATATCTCTCTCTATATCTTTATATCTCTGTCTCTGTTGATATCTCTGTCTCTGTCTCTGTCTCTCTCTATATCTTTCTATATCTCTGTCTCTGTTCTCTCTATATCTTTCTATATCTCTGTCTGTGTCTCTGTCTCTCTCTATATCTTTATATCTCTGTCTCTGTCTCTCTCTATATCTTTCTATATCTCTCTGTCTCTGCCTCTCTCTATATCTTTCTATATCTCTCTCTCTGTCTCTCTCTATATCTTTCTATATCTCTGTCTCTGTCTCTCTCTATATCTTTCTATATCTCTGTGTCTCTGTCTCTCTCTATATCTTTCTATATCTCTGTGTCTCTGTCTCTCTCTATATCTTTATATCTCTGTGTCTCTGTCTCTCTCTATATCTTTCTATATCTCTGTGTCTCTGTCTCTCTCTATATCTTTCTTATATCTCTGTCTCTGTCTTCTCTCTATATCTTTCTATATCTCTCTGTCTCTCTCTCTTCTATATCTCTCTGTCTCTGTCTCTGTCTCTGGTCTCTCTCTATATCTTTCTATCTCTGTCTCTGTCTCTGTCTCTCTCTATATCTTTCTATATCTCTCTGTCTCTGTCTCTCTCTTATATCTATCTTTCTATATCTCTCTGTCTCTGTCTCTCTCTATATCTTTCTATATCTCTGTCTCTCTCTCTGTCTCTCTCTATATCTTTCTATATCTCTGTGTCTCTGTCTCTCTCTATATCTTTCTATATCTCTGTGTCTCTGTCTCTCTCTATATCTTTCTATATCTCGTGTCTCTGCTCTCTCTATATCTTTCTATATCTATACTTTCTATATCTCTGTCTCTGTCTCTCTCTATATCTTCTATATCTCTGTGTCTCTGTCTCTCTCTATATCTTTCTATATCTCTGTCTCTGTCTCTCTCTATATCTTTCTCTCTGTCTCTGTCTCTCTCTATATCTTTCTATATCTCTCTGTCTCTGTCTCTCTCTATATCTCTCTGTCTCTCTCTATATCTTTCTATATCTCTCTGTCTCTGTCTCTCTATATCTTTCTATATCTCTCTGTCTCTCTCTCTATATCTTTCTATATCTCTCGTCTCTTGTCTGTCTCTGTCTCTCTCTTTCTATATCTCTCTGTCTCTGTCTCTCTGCTCTCTGTCTCTGTCTTCTCTATATCTTTCTATCTCTCTCTCTGTCTCTGTCTCTCTTCTCTGTCTCTCTCTGTCTCTGTCTGTCTCTCTCTCTGTCTGTCTCTCTCTCTGTCTGTCTGTCTCTGTCTGTCCTGTCTGTCTCTCTCTCTGTCTGTCTCTCTCTCTCTCTCTCTCTCTCTCTCTCTCTCTCTCTCTCTCTCTCTCTCTCTCTCTCTCTTCTCTCTCTGTCTCTCTCTCTCTCTCTCTCTCTCTCTCTCTCTCTCTCTCTCTCTCTCTCTCTCTCTCTCTCTCTCTCTTCTCTCTCTCTCTCTCTCTCTCTCTCTCTCTCTCTCTCTCTCTCTCTCTCTCTCTTTCTCTCTCATTTCCATATTAGTAATCGTTTGTGTGCTTATTATATTGCTCTAATTACCATTTTCACAAAACGTCACCTCTTTCTTGCTTCTAGTAATGAACAGCACTACTGTGTTTGTTAAGGAGCATGCATTTACAAAAGTCTCTTGATTGCAGGTTATGACATCAAAAGAGAAGGAGATTATCACAGACCTAAAAAAATGTGACTTCCGCCGGTTGCATGCTCACTTCGTCCAGCAGAACGAAGAAAGAAAGAACCGTTCTAAAGAGGAGAAGAAGGCATTGAAGGAAAAGAACGAGGCTCTCATAGCAGAGTATGGATGGTGTAACATTGATGGCCACAGGCAACGTATAGGAAACTTTAAGGTGGAACCTCCAGGTCTGTTCAGAGGACGTGGTGAGCATCCCAAGCAAGGCATGCTCAAGAGGCGCATCATGCCAGAAGATATTATTATAAACTGCTCAAAGGATTCTGTGATACCTAAACCACCAGACGGTCACAAATGGAAAGAGGTAGGGAATGGATTTTATCAAAATAATGTGATTTCCTGCATTTATAGAAGATTGTTACAAATCGTTTCATGCTGACATAGTTTACACAAGAAACAAACTGAGACTCCCAATAGTAGCTTTTTTTAAAGTTTCTTAAAGGAAATCTATTTTACTTTAGGTACGAGCAGATCCTTCGGTCACATGGCTGGCATGTTGGGTGGAGAACATTCAGGGACAAACAAAGTATGTTATGCTCAACGCTGCTTCGAAGTTGAAAGGCGAGAAGGATTGGCAAAAATATGAGACTGCTCGCAGATTACACCAAACTGTAGACAAAATTCGTGAGAACTACAAAGCAGACTTCAAGAGCAAAGAGATGCGTATAAGACAGAGAGCTGTAGCCCTTTATTTCATAGATAAGGTATGATACTTTTAACTTTGTCTTTATGTGCATGCAAATAGGATATGTCTTTTTTGAGTATGTATTGGTGTACCTTCATATTGAATTGTATACTTTATTTTCTCTAGCTCTAATCTAGTCTGTATTCCATTAACAGTTAGCCCTTCGTGCGGGTAATGAGAAGGACGAAGATCAAGCTGACACTGTGGGCTGCTGCTCGCTGAGAGTAGAACATATAACTCTTCATGAAGAGAAGGATGGCAAGGAGTATGTTGTCTCCTTTGACTTTCTGGGTAAAGATTCCATTCGTTACCAGAATGAGGTGCAGGTGGAGAAGAGAGTATTCAAGAATTTGCAGCTTTTCATGGAGAACAAGCAAGAGGGAGATGATCTCTTTGACAGATTAAATGTAAGTTAAATGTTTTGATAAAGTGTTTATATTGTTTAGTAGCTTTAAAGAAGTTCTTATTTTGTCATATCTTGTGATCATTTACAGATTTAGAGATCAAAGTGACTCAGGATATTCTTATTTCTCCCCCCAGACGCAAATTCTGAACAAGCATTTGAACGAATTGATGGAAGGGCTCACTGCCAAGGTCTTCCGTACGTACAATGCTTCCCGCACCTTGCAAGAGCAACTGGAGTTGTTAACAAATGACGATGACCCAATTCCAGCCAAAATTCTATCCTACAACAGAGCTAACCGTGCTGTGGCTGTATTGTGTAACCATCAGCGTGCAGCCCCCAAAACCTTTGACAAATCCATGGCCAACTTGCAGAAGAAGATTGATGACAAGAAAGAACAGATTGACGAAGCTGAGAAAGAGTGCAAGAGCTTGAAGAAGGCAGCCAAATCTGGTGGCTCTCAGAAGGAGAAGATGGCCCATGAGAAGAAGAAGAAGGCATTGGAGCGCTTGAAAGAGCAGCTAGCTAAACTGGAGATGTCGGCCACAGACAAGGAGGAGAACAAGACCATTGCTCTCGGCACGTCCAAGCTGAACTACCTGGATCCCCGAATTTCAGTGGCCTGGTGCAAGAAATATGGTGTTCCCATTGAGAAGGTCTATAACAAGACTCAGCGCCAGAAGTTCCAATGGGCGATTGACATGGCTACGGCAGAGTACAACTTCATGGGCGAACCAATGGACATTTCCAGGAGTAATGACTGTGACGATGGGGGCGATGAGGATTATGAGTGAACATTAATCTTTTAATACCCAAAAGACTTCCTTTTACATGACCAAAGACAAGAACATTTTGTCAGTATATCATTGGTGAGTTGTGCTTCTGAAACAGGCTTTGTCCATCCTTCTTGGTGAACTGAATGGAGGTCGGCAAAGCCCACTGTATTTTAAGTTATTCACTATATCTAGTGAGGGGAATGTGCAACAGGGACAGAACACGGTTCTTCAGAGTTTTTATTTTAATGAGGTTTAACGTGTACCTTGAATATTTATTACCTAAATTCAACCAATTTTTAAAATATTTGTAAGTAGTTTTGCTAAGCTAAAGTATTTTGTGTGTATGAATTCATTTTCTATTCATTAGGGTAGAGCCCTCCAATGCCTCGGCCCCAGATATTAGCTATACAGTAAGGTGATCTATTGAATTGTACAAGTATGTGCCGCAGAGGGTCGGTGAAGTGGCAGTTAAATAATAGTTTCTACACCTCAATAAGTGCAAATGTATGTCTGTGAGATAGCATATCTAAAACCACATTATATTTTGTATGCCTCTTTAAAGTTCATAACTTTAAAGTTTACATATGGTAAAGTGCACCGTTAGTAATTACAAACTAATTTTTTTAGTTTGGTATATTTATGAATTTTTACAGGTTTTAGGTAATCAATATTTTCACAAATGGACTACTGTATTGAGCAGTGTGTAGGTAGATATAGGATTTTTTTTATTGTGGGGACTAATTCGTTTCCAGAGCTTGTAGGTATTTAATTTCACATCCTTTATCACTATTAATTTTACAAGCTCCAGTGGCAAGTCACTGCTCACTCAAGGTGCAGAAACTTCTATTTGAACAATTTACTTAGATTTTTTTTCCTTTATTTTCAATTGTTTGCATCAAAGCTGAGCTGGAAAAATGCATACATGTCAACTACTTCAACATTAAGTTAGCTTAAGGCTGTAGCAAGGGAGTGGAGATGGCACGCTGCACACACAGCTGTTGAACGTGCCCAGTCATGTCTCCCCGTCAGGATTCGGGTGGCTGTCTTGTAGAATAGACTTTTGTAGGTTTTTAAGTTATCATTGATGTAACTTTTTGTAGAGTGAATGTCATCTGATGATTGTGGAGCACGAGATTTTGACTATTTATTACAACCGGTCATGATGTAGTGGTATAGGGAGATGTTACAGTAAGTATTAATTTAGTATTTACAGCCAAAAAAGGAATGTGGGAGGGAGGGGGGCGGGAATCAATGAATAAAATAGTCTGGGAGGGATAATGTCAAAAGTGGTGGACAAGAAGCTTGTTGCGAAAGAGCCACTGGGACCACAAGCTTTTTACAGATTATACTTATTCTGCAGCATCTGTGGTATTTTCTAGCGGAAAGTAAATGTGTAGACAATGGAAAGAAAAAAAGAATTTTGAATTTTACATACCGCAAATGATGGCAATTATTGAAACTCCTATGTAAACATCATGGCCTGTGTCTTGCCAACATAGAAACTCATTTATAGATCTATCCAGTTCAGCTGGCCATTCCATACCATTATGTGATAGTGCACCATGTAAATAGGTATTATCATCAATAAAACGTGAATCATCATGGGAACGGAGTGTGTGTTTAGCCTCTCATTTTTTGTAATAAGTAGTGTAATTCTCAGTCGTTGCTCTTGTTCGTTGTCGTGGGAGGCTTAGGAGACGGAGATTGAGGTCCAACGTAGGGGATTAGCCCCACGTTGACCTTAGCTGTCGCCTCAACTAATTTTGCATGGTCTCTCCCCCCCCACCCCTTGCCCGTTGTTGTCGTAGGGAGGGGGGAGGGCTTAGGAGGCGAGGACTAGGACCCAGTGTTGGGGATCTCCCCTATCTTGGGCCTCAGTCCTCGACTCGACTAATTTTGCAGTGTTTTCCCCCTCTTTCGTTTCCGTCCCTTCTCCAATCCCTTGCCCGTTGTCGTCATGGGTGCTCAGGAGTCGGGGCGTGAGACCCAATGCGGGGATCTCCCCTGCCCTCGACTCAACTAATTTTGCATGGCCTTTTCTCCCAACTTTGTTTCCGTCCTTTCTCCAACCCCTTCTACTATCTACTTCCTAAGGTGTAAGAACCGTGCCGAAAGGATGAAAGGCTGACCTTGTGGCAGTTCTGAACGGCCTGCGAGAACCACGGGCATAATATTCCCCTGATTTAGTTGTCTAGCCCTTACCTCCTTCAGGAGCACTGAGGGGGTGGACTGTTTATTTCCCCTACATAATCAAGACTTCCCATGGCCAGTAATGAAGTAATGCCCATATTAGAGGCAATGAGGCTTGCCCCTTCATCAGATAGCCCCACCAGTTCGGACTCTACCGGCTCCCCGACCTCAGGCTCTCCTTTGACCACGACTCTGAACACAAACTACCACCCACTCCTCAATGCCTACTAGTGCATTACCCACCGAAGCCGAGACTCAATCTCCAGAAGACACTACCCCAACAACCAACATCAAACATCCCAACCTCCCTTACTACTACCTTACATCCTCATTCTCCATCTCGCCGTAATACTGCCCCCCAAAACAACACACCCTCTTCCACACGTCCCCGTCCTTCTACCACCACCTGCCGTACAAATATCTCGAATACTCTATTTAGGCCAGCTAAATGGGACCGATTTTTCGTGATCCCCCTACGGCTCCTAACTCGGCAACACTTCTCTTTCAACAATGCCTCCAAAAACAAGTGGGCAGAATCCCTTTCCATACCAGACGCGATCGCTCCCGTCTCGTAACAGTCAGATCTGAAAACTGAAGTTATAGCATTATCAAATCTAGCCGATCACTCTGGCAACCCCATTCCTGTAGAACCTCATCCAACTCTAAATACTTGTACCGGAACTGTCTCTATCTCCCCAGCAAACTGCCCAGTTGATATCAAAGATTGGTCAGAATATGGAGAAGAGTTACTCTAATGCCTCAAAGACAAAGATGTGAAATCAGTACATTGCTACACCATTCCTCCTAGAGGTAATCATAAGAAACCCACCGACATTGCCAAAATTACTTTCCGTACACATGACCTTCCCGTTCGTATCTACATTGGTAGACAATTCCTGTTCGACCATAGCACCCCCCCCCCCGTCAATGTCAAAACTGTTGGCGCTTTGGACACCCTCCCAAACGCTGCCACTCCACAGACCGATGCCCCTTTTGTGCCCAACCCGGTCATAACAGATCAAACTGCCCTGCACAAACACGAACATGTGCTAACTGCGGCGGCCTCCATAATGTATTTAATAGAGGCTGTACTTACAAGTTCGAGTCTGAGGTAGCAACATTCAGATACAAAAATAGTCTTACTCTACGTGAAGCCAGACAGGAAGCACGCCGACAGGGTTTCTCTTATATTCCCTACTCTAGTAATGTCGCTCGTTCTACCCCCACCCCTCCACCTCAATATGTTCCTACACCCTCTCCTATACTTGCTTACTTCCCACTTCCACTTTACATATTCCCTCAGTCAGATTCTTTTGCTACTCTAAACCTAGACACTCCAAACTTAACTAAGCTCTAATCTCCTACAGCCCAACACCGTCCCCCCCCCCTCCCGCAGCAGACTAAACGTTCCCTCATTCTTCCCCTACTGCACACTCACATCCACCTACCTTTGCCTTTATTCCTCAGATACCAGTCTCCTCTTTCCCCCCTCATAAGAAAACCATTGTCTCACAAATCTCTCCGACCAACTCCACTGCAGAAACTATGGAAGATATCCAAAACTATATATGATTGAGGCACACAATTCTTTAACTCATGCTCCCTCCACACTCGAAGTGACAGTCGATATCCACCCCCTCCTGCTCATATTCCCCCTACACCCCTCCCTCTTACTCCCTCTCAACACAACCTAACCCCCTCAATTTCGCCTACTACCGATATCCATCCTCCTGATACTACCGATATCAATCATCCTGATACTCATATTCCCCCTACACCCCTTCCTCCTACTCCCTCCCAACACAACCCATCCCCCTACTGCCGATATCCGGCTAACTAACTTCCAACACAACCCCCTCAACTCCAACTATACGTACATTCTCCCTCCCTCCATCCCCTCTATCATTTCCACTCCCTCCTGGATACACACGTGAATCACTTACGTAATTCTCTTACCTAAACCCACCATAGCCCATTCACACAACTTACCCATCTTTAACCTTTCAAGGCCACTCTAGATAGTTAACGAATGGCAACTATTACCCTTCACCCCTCCTTTAATATACTTTCCTATAGTTTATATGCCCTTAGATGTCTAGCACATTTATTTTTGCTTTTAACCATTAACGTTTAGCCCTCAGTGTCCCCTCAAGGGGACCTTGAGGGGTGGACTGTTTATTTCCCCAACATAGTCAAGGCTTCCCATGGCCAGCAATGAAAATGTAATATCCATATTAGAGGCAATGAGGCTTGCCCCTTCATCAAATAGCCCCACCAATTCAAACTCTCCCGGCTACCCGACCCCAGCCTCTCCTTTGACCATGACTGAAGTGTGAACACTACAATTCCTACCCACTCCTCAGTACCTACTAGTCGAGACTCCTCCTCTCCCAACTTCCCCAACTTCATCACCTGTACCCCCACAACCTTCTTCATCAATCACCTCATTATTACTACCTTACAGCCTTATACTCCATCTCCGTAGTACTACCCCCTGAACAATACTCTTCCACACGTCTTCATCCTTCTACCAACCCCAATTCTACAAATATGTTAAATACTCTATTTAGCCCAGCCAAATGGGACCGATTTTTCGTGACCCCCCCCCCTACTGCTCCTTACTCAGGCAACACTCTTCTCTTTCAACAATGCCTCCAAAAACAAGTAGGCAGAGGCTCTTTCCGTATCCGACCCGATCGTCCCGTCCCGTCTCGTTAAAGTTACATCTGAAACTGAAGCTATAGTATTATAAATCTAACTGATCTCTCAGGCAACCCTAATCTTGCAGAACTTCACCCACCCTTTAATACTTGTACCGGAACTGACTCCTCAGCAAACTACCCTATCGACACCAAAAATTAGTCAGATTGTGCCTCAAGGACCGTGATGTGATATCAGTACAGCGCTGCTATATTCCTCTTAGAGGTAGAACCCCGCCAACATTGCCAAAATGACTTTGCGTAGACATGACCTTCTCTTTAACATTACATTGGTGGAAAATCGCTCTCTGTCCGACCATACCAACCTCTCCCCCTTCAATGTCAAAACTTGACGTTTTGGACATCGTTCCAAACAGGGCATGTGGCCCACGTGGTTTGCACTAATAGCATGTGCCAACGTGGTCGGTGTTTGCATGATGCAATATGCTGTGCAGTATGTCACCCCCCACATATATATGTGTGTGCGTGTGTGACAGAAATTAAATGGACTTTTTTCTAATCCATAAATCTTACCTAGAGTAACAATTGGAAAATTAAACAGATCACTTGTACTGTTATTTTTCATAACTGAGCGTCCTTTATGAAATGAGAATCAATATTTCAGTCAGTTAGCGGTAAAGACTCGAAACGCGTTGGACTTTCGTACTCTACCAAAGCCTGCTCACGATTCAATACAATTACATAACAACAGCAACAATGATAAGATTAAAAACAACTCTTTATGATGGCACTTATAAATGTAACAATGATTAGGATAGTACTGCTGATAATACGATTAAAATAATAGCCATGAGAACTAAGACATTAAAGATTACCTAACTTGATAACAGCAATAGAAAAAACAGCAACTACAATACTATAATAATAATAATAATAATAATAGTAATAATAATAATAATAATAATAATAATAATAATATAATTTATAATGATAATGATAATGATAATAATAATAATAAAAATAAATAATAATAATAATAATAATAATAATAATAATAATAATAATAATAATAATAATGAAATTTATAGTAAGAATACCATATTATGTAAGTATTTTCTCCAGTACTGATTATTCTAAAAGTGAGAAAAACAGTTACATGAATAATAATGAACTGTTCTATCTTCATTTGCTGTTTTAAACATCAGTGAACTCAGGTCATCAGTGCATCTGGATATAATACTTATGGTTGTTCAAGTGTTATATTATTTGGGAAACATGATGTTATCAGAACAACATTCTGTAGGACGTCAACACATATAAATAAACTGCGTTTCCGCCTCACAAACACCAGCTGTCAAAATGGGGCGGGGAGCTTAAGTGACGTCACCGGGTGGCCTCATAGCTAGCCAATCGGGACAGTGTTTCCGATTTCTGATTCTTTTTTCCAATTATATACATTGTCAATATCAGTATCAGAATTGCAACCATAAATCGACAGTTTTGCTTAAGCTCGCGAGCTATTTTTGTTACATTGAAGCTTGTAAAACAAACAGGAAAAATCCTATTTCGTTGTGTTACCACAGACCTCTACTCCCATTTACATACTTTGGTTAAATCCTTATAATCTCTCTAGAAACAAATACAAATCATTATAGATACTAGAAATAGAGTGATAAATACATTACTAAAACAATGATAATAAAAACAGCAACACTCCTTGTGATGGCGGTAATAAATGAATCTGTTTCTATAAAATAA